AGGGCGGGGGGAGACGAGGGCTGACCCTGGGGGTGCAATGCCCAACGTACAGAAATAGCAATGAACGAGGAGGCGCAAGAAGTGCGAATCTCTCGAGCCGGAGCAGCTGTCGGGTTCGCCCTTGAGCGGAACAAGCGGCTGGTCGAGGGAAGGAAGGAAAGGCAAGGACCGCCCCAAACGATGTTTAAAACGCGTTGGCGTTTAAAACGAAAAACAAAACGAATCCGAACGTTTAAAGCGAACGTTTAAAACGAAACGGGTGCAAAACGAAAACGAAAAACGAAACGATGCCACCATTAAGCCAAAAAACAAAACGAAAAACGAAACGACCTTCGCAGATCACGTGGTAAACAAAACGAAAAACGAAACCAACAAGAAAACGAAACGAACGCCCGAAAATCATACATGCAATCAGAACATCAAAAGGCGACGGCGGCGCGAAACGAAACGAAAAACGAAACGAATCGCGACGTGAATGGAAAAGCTAAACGAAAACAAAACGCAACCTTGAAATCTCGACACAAAAAAAAAAAAAAACGGTCGACAAACAAACGTTTAAAATCCAAACCCGTTTAAAACAAAAACGAAAAACAAAACAATACCAAAACGAAGAACAAAACAAGTGCCAAAACCCAGCGCAGGACCACCATGTTAGATACCCCCCTGGGTGGCCTGGACACGTGAAAACACGTGGTTCCAGCTCGGGACCACCAGGTTAGATACCCCCCTGGGTGGCCTGGACACGTGAAAACACATGGTTCCAGCTCGGGACCACCATGTTAGATACCCCCCTGGGTGGCCTGAACACGTGAAAACACGTGGTTCCAGCTCGGGACCACCATGTTAGATACCCCCCTGGGTGGCCTGAACACGTGAAAACACGTGGTTCAAGCTCGGGACCACCATGTAAGGTGGCCTGAACACGTGAAAACACGTGGTTCCAGCTCGGGACCACCGTGTTAGATACCCCCATGTCTGGCCTGGACACGTGAAAACACGTGGTTCCAGCGCGACACCACCGTGTCAGATACCCCCCCCCTGGGTGGCCTGGACACGTAAAAACACGTGGTTCCAGCTCGGGACCACGTGCAAATTCACACTTTACCACGTAATTCATCGCAGAATAATTCCGCCGGCCCTACTCCCGCACGTAATTTATCGCAGAATAATTTCGCCGGCCCTACAGCCGTCGAAACTGGGGGGGGGGCCAACTAAAAGAGAACCCTGGGCTCGAGCCCTTTCCGGGAACCTCATGCGGGGGCCGCCGAGAGCCCCCGAGGGGCCGCCCACAGGCCGCGAGGACGGGGCCGTCCGCTGCGGCACGCGGCGGCTCTCGGCGGCCTTCGACGACGACGACGACGACGACGACGACGACGACGACGACGACGACGCCGACGCCGACGCCGACGCCGACGCCGACGCCGACGCCGCCGACGCCGACGCCGACGCCGACGCCGACGACGAAAACGGCGGCGGCGGCGACGGCGACCACCACCACCACCACCACCACCACCGCCTCTCGCCCCTCTTGTGGCCGCCGCGGCGGCACGAGGGGAGCTCCCAAAACGGTGCGGTGACGGACCGAGCGGTGACCTCGAAGTCACGGAGACCTCACCACACGCTCCGTCACCGCTGGTGGCGCGCCAGGTGCGGCGCCAGCGACGCCGCCAGGGGGGGCCCAGCGCGGATCCGAGAAATCCGCGAGGAGCTCTGCAAGATTGTGTTGCTGCAGTTTGTTCTTCTTCGAACGGGGAGCGACGGGGGGGGGGGGGGCGACACGAGCCCGAGACCATCATCTTTCTAGCAGGTGCTCGCCGAAGGTATCTGCATGTACTCTTGTCAAGGATTTGTGGACGCGCGGGCGTGTGTTGCCGCATCAGCGGTCCAAAGAGGTTTGCTCTGGTCCCCATCGTCATCGCCCCCTCCTTCCCATCGGGACGTCCAAGAGGGGGACGTCCAAGAGGGGGGGAAAGGGGGGCAAATCATGGCCAGCGGCACGTGCGCGGCCCGGGGGGGGGGGGCGGGGACGTATTGAAATCAGAAAAGGCCCCATGAAATCTGGCGAGATATCATGGCCCCCGCCATGAGATCCATCCCCCCCTAGTCATCACCCCCCTCTTGGCCGCCCCTTCCTTCCTCCTCCTCTCCTTTTTGCCGCCCGTTCCCTCCGCCCTCCTTCTGCTCTCATGATCCCTGTGAGGGGAGGGGGAGAGCCTGGCACTGCTAAAATACATCCACTCCAGGGCCCAGGTGTCATCGCTCCGCCCCATGGCCTCGTTCTTCGCAGGGCGCCGATCGACGCTCGTCCTGGACACCCCCTGCAGAGGCCACCAGCCCCCCCGAATCTCCCAGCGTCGTAGACAAAACACACACAAACATGATGGACCCACGAACCCGGAAAGGGATAAAGACATGTGCAGCATGGTCACGTTTTCACGATACCCAACTGGGCGACATCTCACGAAACATCCCACGAGACACCCCGCGAAACATCCCACGAGACACCTCACGAAACATTCCACGAGACACCTCACGAAACATTCCACGAGACACCCGTGAAACATTCCACGAGACACCCCACGAACAGGCAACCACTCAACCAGACACGCCACGAAACATTCCACGGGGGTGCGACTGGGTGTGGTCGTGCTGGGGTGTGGTCGTGCTGGGGTGTGGTCGTGCTGGGGAGTGGTCGTGCTGGGGTGTGGTCGTGCTGGGGGGTGGTCGTGCTGGGGGGTGGTCGTGCTGGGGGGGTGGTCGTGCTGGGGGGTGGTCGTGCTGGGGCGTGGTCGTGCTGGGGCGTGGTCGTGCTGGGGCGTGGTCGTGCTGGGGCGTGGTCGTGCTGGGGTGTGGTCGTGCTGTGGTGAGGTCGTGCTGGGGTGTGGTCGTGCTGGGGTGTGGTCTTGCTGGGGTAGGGTCGTGCTGGGGTCGGGTCGTGCTGGGGTGTGGTCGTGCTGGGGTATGGTCGTGCTGGGGTGGGGTCGTGCTGGGGTGGGGTCGTGCTGGGGTCTGGTCGTGCTGGGGTGTGGTCGTGCTGGGGTATGGTCGTGCTAGGGTGGGGTCGTGCATTTCGCTCGAGACATCCTGCCAAAATTCCAGGAAATCGTACAAAAACAAACGAATTAGTCGAGACATCATCGAAATTCCTTCGCGCGGGGCGCTTTTCCGCGTCGCGGTCGGCTCTGCAAAACAAGCGTTTCGCTCGAGACATCCTCGGCAAATTCTGCGGAGCAAGCGTTTCGCTCGAGACATCCTCAACGCACGAAAAAATGGCCCGCACCCTGTGATTTATCGATCGGGATTTAAAAAACAAGCGTTTCGCCTGAGACATCCTCAAATTTTAATTCGCCGGCCTCCTTCGACCTCGATATTTATCAAGGAAAAATTTCGCCGGCCTCCTTCAAGTTGGGCACCGGGGACATGTTTACATAGAAAAAGAGAACCCTGGGCCCGCGCCCTTTCCGGGGAAAAAAAAAAAAACGGCGGGTGCGTGTCTTCGACTCGGGCCTCCGAGGGCCTATCTCGGGTCCCGCCTGGGACTCTCTAGAAACAGCCCGTGATGGAAAAGTGGCCCTGGGCATACGTCGTGAGAGAAACACGAAGCTGGAGGTATGGGCATGCTGTCCCCAGGACCTGCAAGAGTGTGGGCATCAGATGGCTGATCACGCGCATCACCCACGTCACATCACGTGCATGATTGAGGGAGCCAGACAGGAGACTGGACGGAAAAAGAAGCGCCACCAGTCGAAATAGACAGACTGCGATTGTGTCCCTAACGCCGACACCGCAACAAAAAACGTCTCGGAGATTGGGCCGGACCGCCGGAGCTGCTTGGCGTCGTCGGCGCACTCCACGAGATGCGACACAGCTGAGGCGGTCGGCGCCCGGGGGGGGGGTCCCGCCGAGCCTGTCGCCACGGAGCATCGGTGCTCCCCCCCACCCGCTCGCCTGGTTGCACGTTCGCCACGCAGTCCATCAGAATACGGAGGGCCCACCCTTGGACCTCTTCTTGGACTCCTTCGCGAGGGACCTGCCCCAGCCCCCTCGCACACCAGACAGGCGCCCGCGCAGTGAGCTCCCTGCAGGAGCCGGGAGCGGCGGACGACGGGGGCGATAAGGCTGCGGCCGCGGAGGAGAGGATGAAGGTAGGAGCCCGATCGCCATTCTAGACGAGGTTGCTCCACGCCGGGGTGAGACAAGTCGGGTTGTCGTGGCGGTGTCACCGCAGGGCGCTGCTGCTTCCCAACGGGGCGTCACACGAGGCGCGGGGCAGCGCCGAGCGCAGGCGCTGCACGGACTCGTTCGCTGCGGGGCTGAGGGGGATGTGCGAGGACACGGGGCCCACCGCCGAGCCCCGGGCCTTCTGCAGTCTTCTAGAGCGTCCCCCCTTCCCCTGGGAGCCTTGAGCTGGAGGCCCGCTAGCCGGGCATTGAAAAAAATCGGCTGGTCCCCGAGGACGGATGGCGCCGCGGAGGCTCCGAGGCTCGAGGCTCGAGGTGTGTGCTCGGGCGCTCCTGCACTTGTGCGTGGCCCCCCATCGTCGAGCGAGGCTGCGCAGCGAGAAAGCACCTTTCCTATCTCAACGGCGTCGCCATGGTTGGTCCCCCTCCTGCTCGCGCTCGCACGGGCCGCCACCAACAGCCAGACGGGGCTCCCGCTGGGCGCCAAGCGATCCGAGAGCCTCTGGAGTGCCCCAAGAGGCCTCCCCACTCCCTCCACGAAGCACCCCAAAACCCATCCTCCTCCCTCCTCCCTCTCCCCAAACCTCCGCCGTCCTGGTCTTTCAGTTTGTGATCGCGGGCTGGTTTGGGAGAATCCCAGGGTGCGAAAGCGATTCCCGGAGGCCGAAGTTGTGGAGAAGCACCCGCCGCGACTTCTTTCGCGACGTCTGGGGGCATCACCCTCAAAGCGCCCACCACCCCCCACACTCCTACGAGGCAGCCACGCGATGACCACAGTCATGACAGCGGGAGGAATGATGCCACGCGAGTTTCAAACAAAAGGGTCGGTAAACACTCCTACCGCCAGACAAGTCTTGCCCAGCAATCCTAGGTGGGACAAAGACGCTGAAGAGGAGGGAGAAAGGGGAGGGAGATTGGAGGGAGATAAAAGGGGAGATGGAGGGAGAAAAAGGAGGGATAATGAAACATCCTGTCAGCCACATGTGAAACCTAACACACATGTTCAAAATCCTGTGGGACCCCAGGGCACCAATGGGCGCTCAGAAACGCAATTCTGGGCGGGCACGCGTTGAACGAAGGCCTACTGGTGACCCCCAACCAGCCTCGGAGGTGGCCAAGGGGAATGAACTGGATAGACCCCGAGAAAATCTGTCCAGTAGGGGCGACATGGGCAGAGCCACTCAAGATCGGTCGCTGGACCCCTGGGGCCAGTCTGGTGCAGTTTTTCACCCTGGACCAATTGTAGACGATCCCGGGGCCCGAGCACGGCCCCCGGGAACCGCTGAAAACAAGAAACCTGTCCGAACCCAGAACCTCGAACCTCGTTCCCCCTTCCTGCGGGCAAGAGCGATTGCTGGGCCGCCTCAGACCCCCCGCCGGCTCCAACACTGCTTAACCCCCACCTGCCCAACTCGACGGAACCGGACTGGGGCCCTCAGACCTCCGACGACACGCGGGACGCAGAAGGGCATAAGAGTACGATGTGCGGATGTCAGGGGCGCACGTCCGACACGCTCATTCAGTACACAGATCCTGTAGCATATCGACTCGCGAGCGGTATGGCCACAAAGCGACCGCCAAAGAGCGTATACTATGAGGTGTTTCGACGTGCGCGTCACCCTTCCGGGCCGACGCACACACAGCACGAATTATTAATATGCTTCGGCGGTACCACAAACATGCAGACGACCAGCGGCGCAATGTTTGCTCCGCCACTCCCGGAAGTCTGCATTTGGCCCGGGCGGCACCTGCACTGCGCGGGGGGGAGCGGTCGGGGTCGGAGTCGGCGGCCACGGGACCCCATCGGGCAGTTTTTATCATCGGCGGCGACGGCGAAAGCAGGCGCGCGGGTCGGGACTGGCTGGCCGCGCTGGGCGCGAGGCGCGAGCGACGAGTGGAAAAGCAGAGAGCGGCCGCGGAGGAGGAAGGAGGTGGAGGGGGAGAAGAAGGAGGAGAGGGAGGGGGAAAGGGAGGAGGAGGAGGAGGAGGAGGAGGAGGAGGAGGAGGAGGAGGAGGAGAAGGAGGAATAGAAGGAGGAGGAGGAGGAGGAGAAAGAGGAGGAGGACAAGGAGAAGGAGGAGGAGGAGGAGGAATAGAAGGAGGAGGAGGAGGAGGAGAAAGAGGAGGAGGACAAGGAGAAGGAGGAGGAGGAGGAGGAGGAGGAGGAGGAGGAGGGGAGGAGGAGGAGGAGAGGAGGAGGAGGAGGAGGAGGAAGAGGAGGAGAGGGAGGAGGTGGTGGAGAAGGAGGAGGAAGAGGAGGAGGAGGAGTAGGACGGAGAGGAGGAGGAGGAGGAGGAGGAAGAAGACGAAGAAGAGAACGAGGAAGAGGAGGAGGAGGAGGAGGAGGAGGAGGAGGAGGACGAGGAGGAGGACGGGTAGGAGGAGGAGGAGGAAGAAGAAGAAGAGGAGGACGAGGAGGAGGCGGCGAAAGAGGAGGAGGAGGAGGACAAGCTAGGTGCGCTCGCGTCAAATCTGACGTCCTACCCCTCCCTCCCATCCCTTACCATGGCGCTGATTTTCTCTGTCCGCGGACGCGTGTCGTAGCGGACTTGTGGCTCCGCGCGCGCGTGCGTAGTGGGTGGTGGTGCGCGTGCGTGCGTGCGTGCGTGCGTGCGTGCGTGTGTGGTTGTGGTGGTGGTGGTGGTGGTGGTGGCGGCGGCGGTGGTGGTGGTGGTGGTGGTGGTGGTGGTGGTGGTGGTGGTGGTTGGTGGTGGTGATGGTGGTGGTGGTGGTGCTGGTGGTGGTGGTGGTGGTGCTGGTGGTGGGTGTTGGTACTGGTGCTGGTGCTGGTGGTGGTGGTTGGTGGTGGTGGTGGTGGTGGTGGTGGCGGGCGGCGCGGGGTGGCGGGCGGATGGGCGCGCGAGAAAAGGCCCGCGCTGGGGCGAGAACGCCATCCTGAACGACGGAGGCCAAACACCGATCCGAAAATGAGGCCCACGCTGCAGCGGGAGCACGATTCGGAACGATTCGGGAGCAGAAATGAGGCCGGCGCCTCAGCGAGAGCAGCATTTTGAAAAAAAACGCAAGCGAAAACCCGTTTCCCGGGAATCCTGTGTGTAAAAAACAATACGCGGGGGGGGGGTCGGATATCTTCGGGACGCCATCAGGGGAAGTGGGAGAGTATTTTCATATTGTGTAATTGTGGAGGAGGAGGAGGCGCAGGAGGGGCAAGAGGCGCTGGTGTCCGCAGGCCAGGCTTTGCCCGCCGCCGTGCGCCTGGCCGACAAGGCCAGGCGAGCCGGAGCTCGGAGGCCGCCCCTCGCCGTCGAGAGGCGGCGGGCGAGGGGCGCGCAGGCGGCCCCAGGCCACCGGAGACGGTGTGCAGCAAGTGGCGAAGCAGCGAGAGGACGGTCCTCTCCTCCCTCCTCCCTCCCCCTCCTCTCTCTCTCCTCCTCCTCCTCCCTCCTCCTCCTCCTCCTCCTCCTCCTCCTCTCCCCTCCTCCCCCTCCCTCCTCCTCCTCCTCCTCCTCCTCCTCCTCCTCCTCCTCCTCCTCCTCCTCCTCCTCCTCCTCCTTGGCCCCTCGGGCACACGCTGACATGGACTACGGATCTGTGCATCCGGCGCGCGGGCGCCGGATCCTCGGTCTGGCGAGAACTCAAGGGCGGCAAAGGCGCATCCGCGGCCGCGCCCTCACGGTCTGGACCCTGGGACGCGGTCTGGCGGATGCGCGGTCGCACGGAGACGTCCCGTGCGGGGCTCGGCAGCGAGCGAGGGGGGGAAGTGAGAAGGAGAAGGCCTCCTCACAGAGCTCGGAAGCCCCCCCTGGCCTTCTGAGAAATTACCTGGGCCTTCCGCCAAGACAACCAAAACTCCTCAGAGGGCGCGAGGGCATCTGAGAAGTCCCGCCGCCCTCTGAGAAGGCCTGCTCCTGTTCAGTTCCCCCCCCCCTCGCTCGCCGCCGAGGGGCATCCACGCGAAGAAGCGCCCCGCATCCGCGGGGTCGCGGCGCCCAGGTGCCTCTCGCCCACGAGAGGCACCGCCCGAAGCATGGCGCCAGTGCCGCCGCATGGGCTGGCGCGGCGCGCCGAGTCTGTACAGTGGGGGCTCCGACCACAAGAGACCTTCCACGAGAAGCCCAACCCTGAGACCCCAGGACGTCCATGGATCTTTGGTGTGGGAACGTCGCGCTCTCCATGGCAGAGGCATCGGAGCCCAAGAAACCCAGGGGAACCCTGGAGGCAAGCAGGGCGTTTCTTGGCATGGGTCTCCACTGCATGGAGACGGGACCCGTCGCGAATCCACGCGCCTGACTGCAGGGCTCGACCTGAAACAGTGTTTTTCTATATTTCGAGTAGGGGATCGAATACCGTCGAGTCTCGAAAGAATGCGTAGAATGCTCCGTAGATGTACAGAACATTCTACACATGCTTTGTAGACTCGATGGAAAATAATTCTGGGGTAAATCAAAGTCGATCCCCTATACGAGTATTCGTGTTGCTGTCGATGTCCCTCGTTCTGTCCTTCGTCCGCTCCCGCTGCAAAACCAGGACAGACCGAAAACGGCCCACGACATCGCCAAAACACCGTTTGGCTCGAGCCCTACCGTATCAATCAAGTGGGACGCACGGAAGCATACTAGCACTGTATGTCCTCCTCGGAGGCGCGCGTCCGACCCGATCATACAGTATAGCCATCTTGCAGCGTGTTGTTTCTCCAGCGGCACGGCCAGAAAGTGCACGCCACGACACGTATACTACAAGATTTCTCGTTGCGCGCGTCGCCCCTGGGGGGGCGACGCAAACATGATTAGGCGGCGCGCCTGGGGGGAAGTGAGAAGGGGCGGGCCTTCTCAGAAGGCTCGGAAGCCCCCTGGCCTTCTGAGAAGTTTTCACTCGGAAGCCCCCTGGCCTTCTGAGAAGTTTCCAAGCCTTCCCCAAGGACAGAAAAAAATTCTCAGAAGGCGCGAGGGATTCTGAGAAGTCCTGCCGCCTTCTGAGAAGGCCTTCTCCTTCTCACTTCCCCCCTTCGCTCGCTGCCGGATGGTATCAGTATGTTGGGGCGACGCCGATCAATGTTTGCGCTTGTCTCGACCCGCGGCGGCGCCCTCCGCGGAGCCTCGGCCCCCGTCGGGCGCCTCCGGCGGCCTCGCGGGGTCGGCGGCCTCTGCCACGCTGCACCATTTGGGGGACCTCGCCTGCCCCGCCGCGGCCCCACGAGCGCCGAATCCGCGTCGAATCCGTGCCAGCCCCGTCGGCCCCGTGCCGAACCCGGGCCGAGCCCGCGCCGAGCCCGCGCAAGGATCCGCCTCGAGTCCGCACCGAGCCCGCGGCGGGGCACGAGGGAAGGCACCCGAGCTCTCGGGGGACCCGGCGAGGCCCCCAGACGATGCAGCGCACCCTCCGGCGACCCTGCGGAACTGGAGGGCTGCCTGCCGCTCACGGCGCGGCCCCCCAGGGGCCCCGCGAGCGTCCCGGGAGAGGTCCGCCGAGGGGGGCAGTCGGCGGCAGCTCACGGAGCCCTCGCCGTCCGCCGCCGCCGCCGCCTCGCCGCGCGCCCCGGCAGCCAAGGCCACGACCTGTGAATCTGGTGCGGCTCCCACAGGGCACGCACGAACGGCGCTCGAGAGCCCCTTCTCTATGCACCTGGGTTGTATGATATTTTGACCGCTCGAGCTCGAATCAGAGGAGTTATGATTTCCTTGACCTGTCTTCGTGTTGTACCCGTCAACCTTTGGGTAACCGCGCTCCTTTCTGGTGACAGAGCACGACATCCATTCCCTCGGGTTCCGTCATGCCCTCCTCCCTTCACAGGTCCCTCGCCGTCCGCCACCGCCTCCCAGTTGCGCGCCCCATCTTCACACTCGACGACCCACGTGCGATGGTAGTCTTCGATGGTAACTCACGCGAGCCTTTTCATGACATCTTGCTAATTAGCTCTTGCCAATCGGTGCAAGCCGACGCTGCTCGACGCCCAATCGACGCTACTCGACGCCAAACCAGCGCGTTTTTCTCGTGAGCACGAAGCCGCCAGCGCACGCCAGCGCACTCAAAACACCGATCTTCGAGGACGTACGAGGCTCCCCTGAAATGCTACCGAGGCCCAGGGCTCAGCGGCCCGAAAGGATCGAGCCAGAGGACGTCTGGGGGAAGGCTGCTTCGGGCCCCTCGGCCCAAAGAGGGCCGCCGTGGGGGCCGAGCGCGCCGGAGCCCCAGCAAGCTGAAGAGGAAGTACGGGGACGCGGGGGAGGTCTGGGCAGTCCAGACGGTCAGCCTCCCGGCCTCCGCGGGAGGGGGGGGGCGAGGAGGGAGCAGCGCTGAGGCAACCCCCTGCGGCTGTATCGGAAGCGCTCTCTCTCTCTCTCTCTCTCTCTCAATCTCTCTCTCTCTCTCTCTATATATATATATATATATATATATGTATAGATGTATATGTATACACATATATACATAAATGTGTGTATATATAATCCTCTTCCTATACGTTTATAAGCCCGGGCGGGGGGAAAACCCATCACCCCCCCCCAAAAAAAAACGGACTCCCAGGACCTGGGGCTTTGGGGCCCTCCGGACGGGGCTCGAAGCGGCCACCGGGCCTCGCAAGGCGTTTTGCCAAGCCTTCCCAGCACACTTTAGGGCGATCCGGGGGGTCATCGGAGACGTCCCAGAGACCCCCAAGACAGCACAAGAGCGCTCCAAGAGTGACCGACGTGACCTCAAGATGGCCCAAGAGGCCTCCAGGACGGCCCCAAAGAGGCCTCCAAGAGCACTCCCAAGAAGGCCCCCCGAGGCAAAAATCATTGATTTTCTATTGGTTTTTGGTGAATTTTGGGGTTCGCCTCTTTTCGGCTTCCCGACGCTCCAAGACGGCGGTCTTCTGGGCGTCCGAAGCCGCCTGGGAGGCTCCCAGATCGCCCCACAACCAGCCGACGGGCTTCCGGGCAGTCCAAGAGAGCCCCAAAACGGCACAACACGGGTCCAAGATGGCCCTCAGAGAGCCCCATGGCGGCCCAAGATGGCCCAAAGACACCCTCCGAAGAATTCCAAATCGTGATTCGGTCGTTCAGGGAGACGGCGGTTGGAGGCAGGGTGGCCCGAGGAAGCCCCCGGAGGCCCCCAGAATACGCCCGGGAGGCCTCCAGAAGGCCTTAAGAAAGCCCGAAACAACTTTTGTGAGGCCCCTAGAGGCTCTCCAAGCAGGAGCCTCCGCGAAAAAGAGCTGAGGAGGATGGGGAGAATGCGCAGGGTATGGCGAAAATAAGGAACAATAAGCATGGAGGAAGGATAACGAATAACATCATTATAGCGGCGATGCTGGAAAAGGCAACCAGGAGTTATCGCTAAATTGTCGGCTTGACCTTCCTGCCATTCCGCCTGCATACCAAATTTCAAGGACCAAGGTGCATGGCGCGAAGCGCCACTGCAGTCTTGTATATGTGTATATATATACATATATATATATATATATATATATATATAGATATATATATATATATATATAGATATGTGTGTGTGTGTCTCTCTCTCCTTCTCTTTATGTCTCTCTCTGTCTCTCTCTCTCTCTCTCGCTCTCTCTCTCCCTCTGCGGTCGCGCACTGCCCCCAGCCCCCGGAACTTGTTGATCTCCGTGCGCTTGTGTCTCTGCTTCCCGCTGGCGTGCTCCTCAAAGGAGGCGTGGGCAAGGACGGCAGTCGGTTCTCCATCAAAGCAGAGGTGCCGATGCGGCGATCGCGGTCACTTCATGATCGACTGCTCCTCGACCAGGAAATGCGAAGATCGTCCGACGGGCCAGACTGCACCGAAGCCCACGAGACCCTGCCAAGAACACACGGCCAGACAAACGAACCCACAGCACAAAGACCAAGCACACCATTGCCTCCCTCTGAATCCATCCTCCCCTCCTCCCTCCAAGGATCCCTCGCTGTCCGCCGCCGCCTCCTCGTCACGAGCCCCATCTTCACGCTCGACGACCCGAGTGCGACGGTGGCCTCCGGCGGCTCACTCAATATGGAGGAGGGAGGAGGAGGAGGAGGAGGAGGAGGAGGAGGAGGAGGAGGAGGAGGAGGGGAGGAGGAGGAGGAGGAGGAGGAGGAGGGAGGAGGAGGAGCGAGGAGGAGGAGGAGGAGGGAGGGAGGGAGGGAGGGAGGAGGAGGGAGGAGGAGGGAGCAGGAGGGAGGAGAGGAGGAGGAAGGAGGAGGAGGAGGAGGAGAGGAGGAGGAGGAGGAGCCCGTCGCCCGACGTCCGCGCGGCGAGCACGGCCGGGCGGTCCTTCACGAACGCCTTCCGCGACCCGCCGAATCCGCCATCTTCGCCCTCCAGCCACCGTCGCCGCCTGAGACTCACCTTGGAGGGGCAACGATGTTGAAAGGGGGGCGGCTCCTTCTCTAACTCCCTCCGCCTCCCTCCCCTCTATACCTCCCCTCCTCTCCTCTCCTCCCCCGCCTCCTCCGCCTCCTCCTCCTCATCATCCTCCTCCTCCTCCTCCCCCTCCTCCTCCTCCTCAGGGGGGAAACATCGGCCTGGAGTCGGCGATGCATCGCCGATGGATCGGCGATAGGCCCCCGATAGCGAATCCGAACGTTCCCGGGCGAGGAGGGGCTACCAAACCCCTTATGGACGATCAATAGGCGATTGGGGGTCGATGCGTCCCCCCCTGAGCCTATCCCCCCCTATCGGTGAACCTGAACCCTTGGAGGGCCCATCCAGACATCCCGTGCAGCACAGGATCCCACGCGAACGCCGCCACAACATCCGACGCTGCGACTGGCGGTCTGGACCCCATCTTCTGCGGCATTTTTCCAGCTGGATCGATCCGTGATGGCCCTGGGGCCCGAAACCCGGCGAAATCGCCCGGTGCGGCAAAAATACAACGTCAAGATCTCAGGGAACTGTGTGTACAGTGGAGGCCAGTCCACAAGAAACCTTTCACGACAAACCCAACCCTGAGACCCCAGGGCGTCCATTGATTTTTGGTGCGGGAGCGTCACGCCTTCCATCGCAAAACCATCGAAACCCAAGAAACCCAGGGCACCCTGGAGGCAAGCAGGGTGTTTCTTGGCATGGGTTCCCTCTGTAGCTGATTTGGCTTCTCACTGCGCCGCCCCCGCCGTGCCAAAACTGGGCACGGACCAGATGCGCCCCCACCTCGTGTCCGCCCTCGCTGCGCCCCATCCCGCCCTGCCTCTCGCTGGGCGGCGCAGAGTCTGTGGGCCTCGCAAAATGCGGGAGCGATACATGAGGAGGAAGGAAGGTGCACGTTCGGGGCCCCAGAGGCCCCCTTGGGTGCCCTTCGGGGCCCCCTTCAGAGGCCCTCGGGGCCTCTCTTCTGCAGCCCTCGCTGCCCCCCTTGTGGGCCCTGTCGGGCCCCTTTTTCTGAAGCCTTCGCAGCCCCAAACGCCCCCATTGGGGGCCCCTTGGGGGCCCCTTTGGGGCCCCTGGCGAGGCCGTACAGGGCTCCTTTTCTGCAGCCCTCGCTGCCCCACGCGCTATCGCCCCCCCACCGCGCGACGCCCAAGGATATATACATATATATATATATATATATATATATACATACATACATACATACATGACAGATATATAATATTACTATATAAATATAAACAGTAAACTTATGCTTGTGCTTATACCTAGACCGATACCTATACCTATACATATAATTATTACAGTACATTATACTATACGTATACATATACATAAACATATACATATACATATACATATACATATACATATACATATACATATACATATACATATACATATACATATACATATACATATACATATACCTATACCTATACCTATACCTATACCTATACCTATACCTATACCTATACCTATACCTATACCTATACCTATACATATACATATACATATACATATACATATACATATACATATACATATACATATACATATACATATACATATACATATACATATACATATACATATACATATACATATACATATACATATACACATATACATATACATATACATATATATATATGTACATATACCTCTTCCTATATGTTTAATAGCCCCCGGACGGGGGGAAAACCCGTCACACAAAAAAAAAAACAAAAAAAAAACGGACTCCCGGGACCTGGGGCTTTGGGGCCCTCTGGACGGGCCTCGAAGCGGCCACCGGGCCTCACATGGCGTTTTGCCAAGCCTTCCCAGCACACCTAGGGCGATCAGGGGGGTCATCGGAGACGTCCCAGAGACCCCCAAGACAGCACAAGAGCGCTCCAAGAGTGACCGACGTGACCTCAAGATGGCCCAAGAGGCTTCCAGGACGGCCCCAAAGAGGCCTCCAAGAGCATTCCCAAGAAGGCCCCCCGAGGCAACATAAATCATAGATTTTCTGTTGGTTTTTGGTGAATTTTAGGGTTCTCCTCGTTTCGGCTTCCCGACGCTCCAAGACGGCGGTCTTCTGGGCGTCCAAAGCCGCCTGGGAGGCTCCAAAATCGCCCCACAACCATCCGAAAGGGCTTCCAGGCAGTCCAAGAGAGCCCCAAAACGGCACAACACGGGTCCAAGATGGCCCTCAGAGAGCCCCATGGCGGCCCAAGATGGCCCAAAGACACCCTCCGAAGAATTCCAAATCGTGATTCGGTCGTTCAGGGGACCGCGGTTGGAGGCAGGGTGGCCCGAGGAAGCCCCCGGAGCCCCCCAGAATACGCCCAGGAGGTCTCCAGAAGGCCCCCAAGGAGGAGCCTCCGCAAAAAAGATCTGAGGATGGGGAGAATGCGCAGGGCATGGCGAAAATAAGGAAAAAGAAACATGGAGGAAGGAAAACGAATAACATTATTATAGCGGCGATGCCAGAAAAGGCAACCAGGAGTTATCGCAAAATTGTCGGCGTGACCTTCCTGCTATTCCGTCTGAATACCAAACTTCAAGGACCAAGGTGCATGGCGCGAAGCGCCACTGCAGTCTTCTATATATATATATATATGTATATATATACACATATATATATATATGTGTGTGTATGTGTAATGTATGTATGTATGTATGTATGTATGTATGTATGTATGTATGTACGTATGTAGGTATGTATGTATGTATGTATGTATTTATGTTGGATGTATGTATGAATATATGTATGTATTTATAAATGGATTCATATATCTCTTGCATAACTGCTTACATACAAAGATATAGACATACATACATACATACATACATACATACATACATACATACACATACACATACATGCATATGTATATACATACATATATACATATATATACACATACATACATGCATGCATGCATACATGCATGCATACATACATACGTACGTACGTACATACGCACATACATGCATACATGCATACATGCATACATACAGACATGCACGCATACATACGTACAATCGTACATACGTACATACGTACACACGTACACACGTACGTACATACATACATACATACATACATACATACATACATACATACATACATACATACATGTATACATACACATACATACATACATACATGCATAGATACATACATATACATATACATATACACATGCATGCACATGTACACATACATACGTACGTGCATGCACACATACACGCATGCATGCATAAATGCAGACATGCAGACATGCATGCATACATACGTACATACGTACATACGTACATACATGCATACGTCCATACGTACATGCGTACATACATACATGCATGCATGCATACATACGTACATGCATACATATATGCATACACACATACAGGAAATCGGCCGGCCCCCTTGTGGGGCCACCAGGCTGTAGGACCGTGATTCGCAGTTTCCTGTACCAGTCGTAGGTTGTAGTTTCCAGTGTTACAGTTCTGCTTCTTGCTGGTTACTGTAACTAGTTGACTTCTTGCTGGTTACTGTAACTAGTTGATTGACCGCGCGAGGGGGGGGAGGCCCAAACAGGATTTTTAGCGTCTCCTGGGCGCGTTGTCTGAATTGCTGGGGGGGCTCGAAATCGACACCCCTCACGCAGATCCGCGGGGTCAGGGTCCAAAAACACATGGGATTTGCCACATTTCTGAAATTCGGTGCCACCCCTCACGCGGATCCGCGGGGTCAGGGTCCAAAAACACAGGGATTTGCCACATTTCTGAAATTCGGTGCCACCCCTCACGCGGATCCGCGGGGTCAGGGTCCAAAAACACAAGGGATTTGCCACATTTCTGAAATTCGGTGCCACCCCTCACGCAGATCCGCGGGGTCAGGGTCCAAAAACACAGGGGATTTGCCACATTCCTGAAATTCGGTGCCACCCCTCATGCAGATCCGCGGGGTCAGGGTCCAAAAACACAGGGGATTTGCCACATTTTTGAAATTCGGTGCCACCCCTCACGCAGATCCGCGGGGTCAGGGTCCAAAAACACAGGGGATTTGCCACATTTCTGAAATTCGGTGCCACCCCTCACGCAGATCCGCGGGGTCAGGGTCCAAAAACACAGGGGATTTGCCACATTTCTGAAATTCGGTGCCACCCCTCACGCACATCCATCGCAAGGCGTGGTAACCCAAACTGCGAGAACTCCCTCGGCCCTTTAATCGCAAGGTGTGGTAACCAAGCCCGTTAACCATACACGTCTTACCAATCGCCAGGTGTGGTAACCCCTCTTGTGATCAGTTGGTTTTGCTGATTGCGAATCGGCTTCGCATGAAGTTTCGATACTGCTTCACGACAGCGCCAAGGCCTCATGACTTAGCTCTTCCATGGCCCATTATCCGAAAGAGGGGGCCGGCGGCAGGGGGCGAAGCCCTTACGGATAGATACATCCATACATACATACATACATACACACATACATATATACATACATGTGTGCATTCATGTATGCATGCATGCATACGTACATATATACATAGATACATACATACATACATACATGCATACATACATACATACATACATGCATACATACATACATACATACATGCATACATACATACATATATACATACATACATACATACATACATACATACATACATACATACATACATGCATGCATGCATGCATGTATGCATGCATGCATACATACATATACATATACATATACATATATATACACATATACATATGCATATACATATGTGTATACATATACATATACATATACATACACATGTACATACATATATACATATACATATACATATACATATACATATACATATACATAGATATATATATACATATACATATATATATATATATACATATACATATACATATACATATACATACACATACACATATATATATATGTACAGATACAGATACCTATGCATATACATGTACATATACACATACAAATACAAATACATATACAAATACATATACAGATACATATACATGTACATATACATATACATGTACATGCATGCATACATACATACATGTATACCTCCTCTGGGGCGCACGCCCGCCCCCCCCCCGCCAGCCCCCTCTGTCGCCCCCGTGGGGACTCGCAGAGTGTGTCCCAAGTGCCAAAAAAAAAAAAAAAAAAAAGAAGAAAAAAAAAAAAAAAAAAAAAAAAAAAAAAAACAAAAAAAAAAAAAAAAAATAAAAAAAAAAAAAAAAAAAAAAAAAAAAAAAAAAAAAAAAAAACAAAAAAAAAAAAAAAAAAAAAAAAAAAAAAAAAAAAAAAAAAAAAAAACAAAAGAGGAGGTGAAAAAAAAAAAGCGGCCCCATAAACTCCGAAGCCGTTTCGAGCGGGCAACGGGAGGAGTGAGTGAGGAGGAGGAGGGGGGATGGAGGAGGATTAGTAGTGAAGGAGGATGAGTGATTGGGATGAGGAGGAGGAGGAGGAGGCCCACGTCTGAAAGACACACTTGCCAGCATCAGCCCAGAGCCCGTCAAGAGGAGGAGAAGGTGAGGAAGAGGGTGAGGGAAGGGAGGGTAGAGAGGAGGAGGAGGAGGAGGAGGAGGAGGAGGAGGAGGGGGAGGGGGAGGTAAAAGAGGTGGAAGGAGGAGGGAAGAGAAGGACGAGGCTGCAGACACGAAGGGGGTGCTCAAGACCCACGACAGCTCACCAGGCACTCAGACGGAGCGAGCTCCAAACTCAAACTCAGTCCTGCAGTCCTGCTGCCATGGTACAGTGGCGGGGTTTGCTGCGGGCAGCTGGACAAGCTGCGTCCTCCGACTGCACGACCCCAAGTGGAAGCAGGAGGGGCCAGCTGGATCCACTGTTTCTAAGGTTCGGCCACCTTCTCCTCGAAGACCAGCGAGTCCTCGCCAGACAGCTTTGGGTTCAGCTGCATGGTTGCCTGCCACATAGGGCGGAGAGAAGCAGGAACGGAGGTGGGGTGACGAGCGAGGAGGATGCCGATGAGGGAGAACCGCAAGAACGCTTGGGGAGCAAAACGCGGTGGTACGACACGGTCCGCGCTCTGCTGTGTTGAGGGCGGAGGGACTGGGGCCACCTCGCAGCGCCCGAGAGCGGGGAGATAGTTTTGGGCTCCCGGCCGCAGCCCCGTGACACCCGAGGGCGAAGGGACGGCTCGTGCTGTCCGTGGAAGAGGAGCTCACGCGCCAGCTGCACGCCCTGCCACGCTGCCGCACTGTGCTGAGGTTTTGCCGCACGGCGCGTCACACGATCCCGCGATGCCTGGCCTGCACAGTGGAAACATATCCGGACAAAAATGGGCTGCTCAGGGAAAGATCCCGAGGAAACGTGAGGTGCCCGTCCCCCGTCCGCCAGCCCTTCGGCGTGTGTGAGACGCTGTCGTCGTCGTCGTCGTCGTCGCCGCCAGTCCCAAAGAAATTGAGGAACGAACAGAAAGAAAAACGTCGTAGTTACGTCGATCCCCTCCGCTTTCCCCTCCCTGACAATGACAGGGGGGGGCACAGGGGGGGATCAAGACACCCCCTAAATAGCAAGTCGTCTAGCTCACTTCCACCCGCCCTCCCAACACATAAGTAACACCCGAGCCTGAGCATGTTCAGCGGTCGTCTTTGTGTGGACAGCTACTGGGAACCAAAACCGACCCCATGAGCACGACGCCGGGGCGAGATGCGCCACGCGTGACAGGCGCGCCACGCGCGCCAGGCACCCCTGGGGCACGAGCGTGCCAGGCACGCCTGGTAAGCCAGATGTGCCACGTGCTCCACGTGCGCCATGTGTGCCGCATACTCCAGCCGCGTCAGGTGCGCCACGTTCGGGGCACGTGCAAAGTGTGTCAGTTGCGCCTACGCACGTGACAACACACACATCAAAAAACAGATCAGCCCCCACCATCCTTCTCGAAAACCAATGCACAACATTGTGCCTGGTGGGCCTGCGCACAGCAGGCCATACGCCACCACCCCCGCCGTCCCTGTCAAAAAACCACCTGACAATGATCGCGGGGTGGCCGCGCACTATCCGGATTTAGCCGCGAGGTGCATTGTGTACAGTTTTTGTGTTAGATATTGTAGCCCTGCGCACAGCAGGCAATATGCTGACACCCCCGCCAGGCCTGTCAAAAACAATACAAAGTGCTCGCGGGCCTCACTAACATGAATCCAGATTTGGCCCCACAAGGTACTTTGTATTGTTTTTGACAGGGATGGTGGAGGGGGGCCGCATCGGATTGGCCGCGCATGATCCAAATGTGGAGGCAGAGCGCGTTTTGCATTGTTTTTTGACAGGGATGGGGGGGGGGAGATGGTTCCTGGTTGGCCACCGGTCGCTTGGGGGAGGGGGTGTAGATTAATAGAGAACGATGATAAGGGAGGTCCCAGGTTAGATTACCGCCCCCCGGGGGTCTTTGCGGGTGCTGGGGGGGAGTCCTCCCCTGTGGACGGGGGGGAACTCAATGCCTCCCTCCTCCCGCTCACCCAACCAAGTCCCCCCTTCGGCTGAAGGGGGACATGGGGTGGTCCCTCCTGTCGTTACTCAATGCACCCCCACCCCACTCCTCCCTGGTCCCCCCTGTCAAAGGGGGGACAGAAGGGGGGTCCCCCCTGTGTGACACGGGGAACTCAAGACCCCTCCCCCTCTCCCCGCAATCATCCCCCTTGTGCACAAGGTGGACGAGGGGGTGGTTCCCCTGTGGACAGAAGAAGCTCAAGACTCCCCCTCCCGCCTGCCCCCTGTGGACAAGGGGACGGCCTCGCCTTAGGTTGGACAAGGGGAAGCAAGGACCACCCCCTCCAGGGGGGGTCGCCAGCCGAATCCAAGGGGAGGTCCCTCCTGTGGTGGGGGCAGGGGTCCCAGGTCAGAGCGCTGCCCCCCCGGGGTCCCGGCGGGTCCGGGGGGGGGGAGCGCCAGCGGGGGTCCGGGGGGAGGTCCCGCCTTCAGGGTCGGCTGCGCCAGCCGGAAGGCCTTCACAATATCTGGAGAAGACCTGAATCGGGGGCGCGCAAGCATGGATCAGCGATCCATGGATTTGGCGCGCGGTCGCCAAATCCATGGATCGGGGGAGCTGCCCTCCCCAAAATGCGGCCGGTGGCGCCTCGTTCGGCGGCGGCAATCAGCGATTTCCTATGGAAACGGGGCCCGTCGCTAATCCACGCCCCCTTAATCCATTTTTCCGATCGCCTGACTAAGTGCCCGTCCCCACGACAACCACCCCCCATTCCCCCGCTGCGACTCCGAGCGAGCCCATGACCCGGCCTCCAAGCTGCAACGCGGGTTGCCGCGCGCCCACAAACGCAGGTGCATAAGCTTTCTTGCTCGCGACCGCGGCGAGGCAAAGTCCGGCGGCGCCCAGGACACTGCACACGAGCAACGACCCAAATCAGCGCAACGGAAGAGCGAGTGCACGAGCACAAACCTCTCTGAGATCGGCACCACGCCCTCGGCGCGCCGAGCGCCCCAGGGTGGGCGCTGGAGGCGCCGCCAGCAGGGGGCTCCGGCGCCGGCCCACGAGATCGGCGCGGACCTCCTACGCGCGATGCTCACGAGGGCGTCTGCTCTTCGACCTTCCGCCCTTCCGCCCTGCCTCCATCCCTCCGCTTCCTCCTCCTCCTCCTCCTCCTCCTCCTCCGCCTCCTCCTCCTCCTCCTCCTCTTCCTCCTCCTCCTCGTCCTCCTCCTCGTCCTCCTCCTTTTTCTCTTCGTCGTCCTCTTCCTCCTGCTCCTCCTCCTCCTCCCCTCCTCCTCCTCCTCTCCTCCTCCCTCCTCGTCCTCCTCCTCGTCCTCCTCCTTTATTCTCTTGCGTCGTCCTCCTTCCTCCTGCTTGCCTCCTCCTCCTCCTCCTCCTCCTCTCCTCCCTCCGGCCTCACGACTCCTCCTCCTCCTCCTCCTCCTCCTCCTCCTCCTCCTCCTCCTCCTCCTCCTCCTCCTCCTGTCCTCCTGTCCTCCTCCCTGCGCTCTTCCCCTCCCGGAGGTGCGGCCCCGGCGTGCCCGTGCGCGTGCATGGGCCGGCACCTGTGCGCGCCATCCCCGTCTGCTTCTGGCGGCCCGCAGGGGGTGGGAGGAGGAGGAGGAGGAGGAGGAGGAGGAGGCGAGCTACCTTTCAGAACAACGCAGTCGCAGTGTGAGGGGGGAGAAGAAGGGAGGGAGTGTGATCGTGTTCTGCGTCATGCAGTGTGCTCAGCGCCTCCGCCCCATCAGCTGCTTCTCTCCCCCCGCGAGAAAAAGAAGGCTTGCACTGTCAGGGGTCCCTGCTCAGCTTCTCGAGTAAGTGGCGGGCTGTCCCAGGTTTTCGCCCAGAGGCCGCCCATGGGCGCCACGTCGCCGCCTCGACACCGCCTCTCCGCCGCCTCGTGCGCTGGGTAGCGGTGCCCAGTTTTCGCACGGTGGCCGTCAGCGGTCGCCCGTCGCCGCCCCGTCGCCAGCTCGTGCGCCACCGAATAGCTTCCAGCACACTGGCTCCAGAACGCTGACCCTCTGTCCTGCAAAGTCTGCCCGCCCGAGGCCAAGATGACGACCCCCTGCGCACACCGGTGTTTGCCATGCCTGTCATGCACGATAGTTCTTCGTGATTTTCATAGAAGATAGAATATCGTCCCCCGCCAATCGGTCTTCACCCCCCGCCATCTCCTGCAAAGGTTACTGCGCGGCGCACATTCAAACGTCAAGAGACGTCGACAAAGATGAGAAAGACAACGATGATGATGACGACGACGACGACGACGACGACGACGACGACGGGAACGACGACGACGACGACGACGACGACGAGAACGACGACGACGACGACGACGACGACGACGACGACGACGACGACGACGACAACGGCGACGAAGACAACGGCGACGACGACAACGGCGACGGCGACGACGACGACGACGACGACGACGACGACGAGCGGCAGCGCGCAACGACGTAGCCGTGCTGCGCATCCTCCTCCCAGATGGAAGCGTGTCCTGGACCCCCAGGCTCCCCCTCGTCCCGAGCGGTTTTCGGACGGCCCTGGGCCCTCCCAGGAGCCCGAAAGGGGTCAGAGAAAACCAAGACCCTGTCCTGCCGGGACCCCTTTTCTTTATGGCGCCCCTGATAAATCGACCCCCGGACCTCTCGAGGAGTGTGTCTGGACAAGAACCTGGAGGGGAATGCAGCCACGGTGGCAAATCATCCTCCTGGAGACGCAAAATGGACGCCCCGAAAACCTCGATCCTCGAACCTCGATGCTTTCAGCACCCTTTGCCCTTTGAGCATCGTTTAACCGATCTCTATCCCCACTGGGGTGGCCTGGGCCCAACCGGCCGATTTATCCCCCTAGATATGGATACGTGATGCTCCCTTCACGTTTCGAGGGACATATCCCCAGCTGGGGCGGTGGGATGGTGGGGAACTGGATGGGGACATATAGAGATGGGGATGGGATGGGCATCGGCCACGCGATGCTGACCCTTCCCGCCGCGGTGGCCTCCTCTCCCTCCTCGATGAGCCCGGGGTACTCCAGCAGCTCCTCCACAGACATGCAGCGCTCCTGCAGCGCCCACCGCACGAACCTCCGCCGGCGCGGCCGGGGCGGGGGCGGGACCGGTGTCGGAGGGTGGCGCCGCATCGCCGACGCATCGGAGCGCGTCGCCGATGCATCGGCGATGCATCGGCGCCGACGGCGTGGAGAGAAACTGGCTCCACATCGAGCCGCACCGGCGGTGTATCGGCGATGCGGCGCGATGCTTCGACCCCTGCTCGGACCCCATGTGGGAAGCCTAGACTGGCCCCGCCACAACCCGGAGCGAAGAAACCGGCCCGGGGATGGGCTCGAGATCTCCAGGGGCCCACGTCACGAAAACTTGCGACGCTGGAAGAAAGAAGTCCCTCAAGCCCTCTGGGCGGAGGTGGTTTGGAGCGTTTCCTTTTCCATCTTCACCGTCTTCCCCTTCGGGAAGGGGTTCATCACTGCCACTTATGACATGTACATCACCTCCCCCACCCGACCGGCGACAAACCCAGGATCAGAACCACTCCCCCCCACCATCCCTTGCAAAGAACGATACGAAGTGCACGTTGCACCAAAGTCTGCATCATGCGCGGACGCACCGCGATCACTCTGCATCGAGCTTCGACGAAGACGGCGGGGGCTGGCATGTTGCCTGCTGTGCGCAATGCCAATAGCCCCCACCATCCATTCTGCCCCCCCCCCCAACAAAAAAATGCTCTTCTCTGCACCAAAATCTGGATCATGCGCGGACGCAGCGCGATCCCTATGTCACTCTGCACTGACTGTTGACAGGGGGGACGGCGGGTGGGCAGCCCACCCACCCGCCTTTGAGGTCGCACCGGCAGCAGGCCCGCACTCTCGCGGCGTCAGCGCAGGACCGCAGCATCTCAGCCCCAGACGACATGGATATTCTCAACGGCACCTTATGTCTACACTGGCTTCTGGCTCTATAGAAATGGCCCTGAGCAACTCCCAGCTGACTGCCAAGGTGGGCTGGCGTATTGCCTGCTACGCGCAGGCCCATCATCAATGCACAACAACACCATACTAAGTGCACCTTCCGGCAACGATCATGCGCGGGAGCCCCGCGATCACTTAGCATGGCTATTTTGAAAGAGACATGTTGTTTTGTTTTTTTTTATATTATTTGTTGTTATTGTTTCCTCTTTGTTTTATTTTTTGGGCTATCTTGAAAGAGATGATGGGGGGTGCCCTGGCACGCGCGGCACACCTCGCGGGCGCCGCGCACCTGGCTGGCGTCTGCCTTGGTTCTCGATTTTATGGTCGATGGCGGCCCCTTCCCATGCTGAGCGTCGCGTGTGGCTCACGTCGTCCTGAGCGAGACGGCCGTCCTTTCGGGGGGGGGAGCTTGATCACTGCTCCTACTGATAAACGCACCCCCTCCCCCCACCCGACCGGAGGCCAACCCGTACCCGTGAGCCCCCCCACCCCTCCACCCCTGCCGAAAAACAATACAATATACATTTTGCCTCCAAATCTGGAGCACACGCGGGCGCCACACGACAACTTCGCACTGTTTTTTGGACAAGGACGGCGGACGTGCCGGCATATTACCTGCTTTGTGCCCTGCCAACACCCGACCAAAGTGCACTTTGCGGCAAAGTCAGGGGTCATGCTCGGGGGGCCCGCGACCACTTTGCATTGTGTGACACGGACGGCGGGGGTGCCAGCGTAGGTCTGTTCTGCGCAAGGCAACTACCCTTATCAAAAAAAACTACTGTACTTCGCGGCTAAATCTGGATCATGCGCGGGCAACCCGCAATCATGTTGCACTGGTTTTTGACAGGGACGGCGGGCGTGTTGGCACGTTGCCTGCTGTGCGCAGGCCCACTAAACGTCATGATGGCAACTCCGCCGTGATTGTTCATTGGTTTTCGACAAGGACGGTGGAAGCCGACATGTTTCCCGATGTGCGCGGGCGCACGTGGCGCACCAGACGTGGCTGGAGCATGCGGCACACTTGGCGCACATGGAGCAAGTGGCACATCTGGCGCACCAGGCGTGCCTGGCACACTTGGGACTCAAGGGCGCCTGGCGCGCCTGGTGCGCGTGGCGCATCTGGCACGCGTGGCGCACCTCGCCCCAGTGTCGCACACCTGGAGCCTGCATTAGCTCCCAGTAGCAACACCGCTGAATATGCAGAGACCCGGGTACTACTTAGTTATGTGTTGGGATGGCGGGTGGGACTGAGCGAGACGCCTTGTTGCTCGTGGGTAGCTCGACCCCTCTCCCACTACCACCCCACCTAATCTGAAAGGGGAGATCGCGTGTCGTTGGAGCGCCCAAGATAGCCCAAGATGGCTCCAAAAAGGACCTCAAAGGAGGCTAAGATAACCTCCAAGATGGCTCAAGATGACTGAAGATAGCTCCAAAATGGTTTCCAAGATATTCCAAGAGGCCCCAGGAGGCCCCAAGGCCGCCTCAAGACGGCTCCCAGTGGCCATGGAACCTCCCAAGGAAGCCTCCGAGAAGACAAAGCCCGTTCAAAAACCAGAGAGGCTGATTAATGTTGTGTGCCTTCTCGCCCTTTCGCTTTCGACGGCCCTCCGAGGCCTCAAGAGGACTCCACGAAGGCCCAAGAGAGCCCCAAGAGGTGCACAAGAGACTCCCAAGAGACCCCGAAGAAGCCCCAATAAGCTCCCCCGAGGCACTCAAGACGCTCCAAGAGGCCCCCGTGACCGCCAAGAGGTCCCCACGACGGCCCAAGAGGACTCCAAGAAGCTCTCAAGAGGCATCCGAAGAAACGCCGAGAGGCATCCAAGAGGCCTCTGGCCTTTCTGCTCGCCCTCCTCCTCCTCCTCCTCCTCCTCCTCCTCCTCCTCCTCCTACTCCTCCTACTCCTCCTACTCCTCCTCATCCTCCATTCCTTGTCCTTATAGATAACTCCTCCCTGTCGCACCCCGAGGCCTGTCGAAAGGGCGGGTCGAGTGTTTCAACTGAGAGTCGCTCACCACTTATAACCCTGATGCGAACAAATGACAACAGCTTCACGGATGGAGGGCGGATCGTTTTCAAAACGTAGCTATCGCCCTAGCACCGCGCACGTTCGTCTTAAAATGTTGCAAGAGTTCCACGGGTTGAGGGCGGGTCGTTTTCAAAATGTGGCTCTCGTCTTAGCGCCGCGCACATTCGCTGTAAACATGTGCAAGAGGTTCACTAATTCTCGTGGTGAACGTACCAGAATTTGTATTTTGGAGTGATTCAGGATTGTGAGGGCGCAACAGTCACTTTAATTCGCGGTGTTGAAGTCCCGAGAATAGAATTGTTCAGGTTCGCCAAAACGTAACAGTCAGGTTTACGCGAAAGGCTACGACGGTACACGATGCTTCTCAGGGCCTTCAGGGCAGGGATCCTGGCGCGTTGAGAAGCATCCCCCTCTGCCCAGCAGCACGATGACATGAGGCACGTCAGATTGTCAAGGTGTCGACTGGTGCTGCTTTCTTCCCTGGTACCTCGTCTCCTGCGCCCGTCAGAGTCTTCCGTCAACTCTGGCAGCCATTCCAGCGGAGGTGCTCTCCCCTGGCTTCCTCGCTGCGACTCTTGTCGATCATCTTGAAGGTGACCTTCCGCATTCAACACTCCCTCCGCCATCCTTGCCCCTCTCCTCTGCGTCGCTTCTCGTCGCCATCGCCCCCCTCTCTGCATTCTGTCACTCTCTCTCTCTCGCTCTATCGCACTTTCTATCTCCGGCTCTTCGTCTCTCTCTCTCTCTCTCTCCCTCTCCCTCTCCCTCTCTCTTCCTCTCTCTCTCTCTCTCTCTCGCTCTCTTCTCTGCTCGCAATTATCCATGAAAGCTCCCCTCTTTATCTATATATATATGTAATATGATAATATTGTAGAAAAAACCCATCAGGGTGTTTGTTAGGGTTATATAGCGATGGGCTATAGGGCTATAGGGCTATTGGGCTATAGGGCTATACGGCTATCGGGCTATAGGGCTATAGGGCTATCGGGCTGTAGGGCTACAGGACTGTGACCTATAGGGCCATAGGGCTATAGGGCTATGGGGCTATAGAGCTATATGGGCTATGGGGCCATAGGGCTATAGGGATATAAGGCTATTAGGGCTATAGGGATATAAGGCTATAGGGCTACAGGGCTATAGGGCTATACGGCTATAGGGCTATAGGGCTATAGGGCTATAGGGCTACTGGGCTATTGGGCTATTGGGCACCCCTGGGCACCCGGGCACCCCCGGGCACCCAGGCACCCTCGGGCACCCGGGCACCCCCGGGCACCCGGGCACCCGGGCACCCGGGCCCGGCCACCGAAATCGGCCACCCGGGCACCCCCGGGCACCCAGGCACCCGGCCCCGGCCACCGAAATCGGCCGCCGACCTCACCTCAGCTTTATATCCGCTAGGACCCCTACAGAAGCAAGCTCTGATTGGGAATTTCTCTTCCTATATTTTATAAGCCTGGGCGGGGTGGAAACCCGTCCCCCCCCCCCCAAAAACGGGACTTCCCCAGAAAAAGGGGATCTTGGGGCTTTGGGAACCCTCCCAGACTGGCCTCGACGCCCTCCACCGCCCGGCCTTCACATTGCGTTTTCCAAAAGCCTTCCCAGCACACCTAGGGCGATCAGGGGGGTCATCGGAGACGTCCCAGATACCCCCAAGACAGCACAAGAGCGCTCCAAGAGTGACCGACGTGACCTCAAGATGGCCCAAGAGGCCTCCAGGACGGCCACAAAGAGGCCTCCAAGAGCACTCCCAAGAGGGCCCCCCAAGGCAAAAATCATTGATTGTCTTTAGGTTTTTGGTGAATTTTAGGGTTCCCCTCTTTTTCCCCTCTTTTCCGTGCCTCGGTTCTCGGCTGCCCCCTGGGTTCCAAAAACAACGAAAGAAAAAAAAGACGGCGGTCTTCTGGGCGTCCGAAGCCGCATGGGAGGCTCCCAAATCGCCCCACAACCATCCGAAGGGGCTTCCAGGCAGTCCAAGAGAGCCCCAAAACGGCACAACACGGGTCCAAGATGGCCCTCAGAGAGCCCCATGGCGGCCCAAGATGGCCCAAAGACACCCTCCGAGGAATTCCAAATCGTGATTCGGTCGTTCAGGGAGACCGCGGTTGGAGGCAGGGTGGCCCGAGGAAGCCCCCGGAGGCCCCCAGAATACGCCCAGGAGGTCTCCAGAAGGCCTTCAGAAAGCCTGAAACAACTTTTGTGAGGCCCCTAGAGGCACTCCAAGGAGGAGCCTCCGCAAAAAAGAGCTGAGGAGGATGGGGAGAATGCGCAGGGCATGGCGAAAATAAAGAAACATAAGCATGGAGGAAGGATATCGAATAGCATTATTATAGCGGCGATGCCAGAAAAGGCAACCAGGAGTTATCGCTAATTTGTCAGCTTGACATTCCTGCTAGTCCGCCTGCATACCAAACTTCAAGGACCAAGGTGCATGGCGCGAAGCGCCACTGCAGTCTTGTATATATATATATAGAACCATCGCGCTTCGCGCGCGCTCAAGTTCTAGCCAGGATCCTCACCATCGTCATCATCGCAATCATCACCATCGTAGTCATCGTCATGGTCGTGTTCACCATTACCATCACCAGCACAACCATCATCATCACCACCATCATCGTCAGCATCGTCAGCACCATCGTCATCAACGTCGTCGTCATCGTTGTCCTCACTATCATCGTCGTCGTCATCATCATCAGCATCATCATCGTCAGCATCAGCATCAGCATCATCATCATCATCATCATCATCTTCGTCGGCGCCGTCGTTGTGCTCGTCATCCTCATCATCAGCGTCGTCGCCGTCATCATCATCGGTCTACTCCAGTCCCCTCCCCCTCCACCTCATTTCCGTTCTATCTCTCCCCATCATCCTATCCTCTTGCTCCTCCTCCTCCTCTTTCTTCTCCTCGATGCCGTCTCCCTGAAGTGGATCCCTGATCATTCACCTCCTCCTCCTCCTCCCTGTCCTCCCCGCTCTCTTCAATCTGTCCCCTCTGCTTGCCGCCGAGTGTGATGGCACCACGACGGCGAGAACGACGACGACGACGACGACGACGACGACGAGGAGACACCCCAGGCTGCAGAGGAAGAGGGTGGTCAGGGAGTGGGCGTCGGCACCGAGATCAGCTAAGTAGACATGGGCTGTCCCGACGGAGGAGGACGAGGAGGCCACAGAAACAACGGCAGCCCCCATCCTTTCAAAGCTAACATGTGCACGCTAAGCTCGCACCCTCGGCCCCAACTAACACCACACGCGCAGTTCGAGCGCGCTGAGGTTCCAGCAGCCCCCATCCTCTCAAAGCTAAAATGTGCACGCGTGCACGTAACCACCAATGGCAGGAGCATGAACTGGAGAGGTAACAATGGCGCAGACCGAACAGGGCCGTAGTACACACGAGGGCGCACACAGACGTATCGAATGCAACGCCATGCAGACCAATGCGAGTAGTAAAACAAACGCCAAACGTTGCATTATTGTTGAATTGAAATGCAATGCACATGCTACTCAATGCAGGCAGCTCAACGGAACGGATCGGAAGGACGAAGGGGTGCATATGAAAGTGTCCGAAATCGCATGGGGCTCGTTTCGGTGCCTGCTCGGGGGCTCTTGGGGGCCTCCCGGGGGGCTCTTGGGGGCCTTTGGGAGCCTCTAGTGGGTTCTGGGGATGCTCTTGGGGCCGAGGGCCCGTAAAGTGCGCTCGGATCCCGCGTCTGGGCCCCTTCTTGGAGCCGTGTTGGGACTCTCTTGGGCCGTCTTCGAGGCCTCTTAAGCGGTCCCGGGGCGCTCTTGGGCCGTCTTGGGGCCGTCTTGGTGGCCTCTTGGGCCGTCGTGGGGCGATCTTGGGTGCCTCTTGGCCGTCTTGGAGCGCCAGGGAGCCCAAAAGGAGAGAAAGCCAAAAACATCGAAAAACACAATGGAAAATCAACGATTCGAGCCTCTTGGGGCCCGCTTGGAGAGCCTCTTGGAGCCGCGTGGCGGCTGTGGAGCCCGTGCGCCGCGTGGGTCTTCGTGGCGTCCTGTGAGCGTGCGAGGACCGCCTCGGCCTCTCTTGCCCATCGGGCCTCCTCGAGTCTTGGTGGCCTCGGGGTCTCGGGCGCCGTGGGGTGCCCTGTATCCGTAGAGGATTGTAGCGTTTCGTCTCCGGATCCGATGGGGGGGAGGTGAGGGCGGGGGGGAGGAAGACAGAGGGGAGGCCCCGGGAGGGGTATTAAAAAACGGTGGCGGATGGTTTGCGGAATGGCGGCCCCCGCCCGGGGGGGGGGGGCCTATTTGTTTATATATATATATATATATATTATAATATATATTATATAATATATATATATAAATATATATATTTATATATATATATATATACTAGAACCATCGCGCGCGCTTCGCGCGCGCTCAGGTTCTAGCAGGCCCCAGGCCTTGACGAATTCACTGCTCCACTGAAGTAGTGGACCACAATCAAAGCATGCCATTCTGCATTCCGAAAGGCCGTCGAGGAAAATGGTTGTGTAGGGGGGCGGAGGCCGTATGAATCGGGTTCCCAGAAGGCCTTCTTGAAGCATGGGTTTGGGGCGTCTTGGGGAGCCTGTTGGGGCGTGCCGTCGTCGTCGTCGTCGTCGTCGTAATGTCGTAATGTCGTCGTCGTCGTCGTCGTCGTGGTCGTCGTCGTGGTCGTCGTCGTCTTCGTCGTTTCGTCGTCGTTGTCGTCGTCGATTCAAGAGGGCACTTGGGGCAACTTTGTGCGAAACGATCTGCGGAGGGCCGCGAGAAGGCGATCAGTCATGTTCTCAATCAACTTCTCAGTCAGCTCTCCTATAGCATGATGGTGTTTCGAAGCCTCCGGAGACTCGCGGGCCCATGATGAATCATGTCCCCGGCAGGCTTTCTGGGGACATGGTTTGTTGGGGTGTGTTGGGGGGTCTCTTGGGCGTTCCCTGGGGGCACCTTGAGGGACTCCAGGAACCCTCGGGCCCATGATGAACCATGTCCCTGGAAGGTTTTCTGGGGACATGACTTCTTGTGGTGTGTTGGGGGGCCTCTTGGGCGTTCCCTGGGAGCCCCTTGGGGGTCTCTTGGGGCTTGCTGGGGCCCTCTTGGGCGCCTCACGGGGTTTCGTGGGAGCCTCTTGGTAGCCTCCCGGGGCCTACAGGCGGCCTCTAGGGCCAGAGACCTCGAAATATCGGTTGGCGGTCCCCCGTTGGGAAGCTCTTGGGGCACAGTTGAATTGTCTCGGGAGCCTCCTGGGCCGTTTTGGGGCCCTCTGCGGGGCCTCGTGACCCGTCTTGGAGCGATCTGAAGGGCCTCCGAGCGAGGCCGTGAGGGAGCGCTGGGAAGCGGGGAAAGCGAGAACGCCTAAATCCTTCAAAAACTATAGGAAAATTAGTAAATGTTGCCTTCCAGGGCCCTCTTGGGGAGCCTCTTGAGTCCGTCGTGGAGCGTGTTGGAGTCCTCGTTGGCCGTCTTGAGGGCAGCTTGGGCGTCTTCGGGGCCTCTTGTGACCGTCTAGAGCCCTCTCGGGACCTCCATTAGCCTGTCGTGGCCTGCTTCGGGACGGGCCCGGGCCGCCTCGGGACCCCTCTGGGGGGTCGTCTGGGGAGCATCCTGGGCCGTC